GGAGGAAGAGGAGGAGGAAGACGGGGAGGAGTCCGTAACCATTTGTTGAAGTCTGTAGCCAGGGGCCCAGGTGTTTTGCAACGGCGAGGGGGAGCAGCGGCCCTACCGTGTTCATATTTGGTACCGTACCGCGTTTCCATCCCGCACGGCTATTGCGAGCATATTCCCTTGTATGATGTAGGGCAAACGTGTTTTTCTCGGGCCCGAGGGGCCGCTGTGGTCTTGTAGCACGTGCAGCAGGAGGGCTTCTCACGTATGGTGCGCGCGTGGGGCGTCGACGCCCCCATCGGTTGTCGAAGCAACGCGTGCAGCGCACGGGAAAGCGGCTGTTGGTGAAGGCTCGGGCCAAAGCCAAATGAGGGACATGGGGCGAAGGGCCGCCCAGCAATGCCAGCCCAGGATTTATTTGCGGCGATCAATGATGTGCAGCATCAGCTTCGCCAGTTCGCCTTGCCTAAAAAGAGTGTCAGCCCCAGAAGGCGCCCAGGTCGGACTCTACCAACTCGGGCGGCCAGGTCGTCACCGACCACATGAAAGACCGTCACAGTCGTTTTCAGTATTGGCGCACTGCTTCCAAGCTCGCAGTGCTGGAGGCAGATGGCGAGCTTGCAGACAAAAAGGTCAGAGAGGTGCAGGAGCTACTCAACGCGGCCAAGCCGCCGGAGGCCGTCCAGATGCACATTGCGCACAGCGAAGGCCAAGACTACTTGGGTCAAGGCTCGCACGGCCCTTGGCGTTCGGCGCGAGGAAATGGCTGGGGCCGAGGAGGTGTCGGATAAGGAGTTGGCAGACTTGGAGGTGCCCCCCAAAAGATGCAGGCGATGCGGTTCGGCGCCTTCAGGGCGTGGCCAGGGCGCCCTTCGAGTGGCAGTTCGGCGGGGGGCAGTCGCCAGGAGCAGTGTTGTGGTTCGACATCCGTCAAATCGCGGCGGCGCAGGCGTCGGCAGCGGGCGGCGGGTCGAAGGATTGGCTGCCGCCCGAGAAGGGAAATCTCGACAAGCTCGTCGGACTCCTTCAGTATGCGGCGTCTCCTTCTTCTGGTGCTGCTGCTGCTAGTGCGTGTGGGGTGGGGTGCGGGGGGGGGGGGGGGGGGGGGCAGGGGGGCACCGGGCGTTGACATCCTAGTCGGAGACGACCCAGATGACATGGAGCTCGACGACGGCTCGGTGCGCGGGCACCACTGAACGGCGCCAGCAGCAGCGCCGCGCCTCGATGGCCGGGGCAGCGACGGTGACAGCAGCGAAAAGTCAGAGGCGATCAAGCGCGCCGTCGCCGAGGCTTTCGCGAACGTCAAGGTGCCGCGCGAGCGGCAGAAGCGCGCGGGTGGCGAGGGGTTTCAGAGGGGCAGGAGGGAGGCAGCCAGTTCGGAAACGACTTGGGAGGTCCGTCCGGCTAGCGCCAATTCCTGGTTCATTTAGACGTACCGCAGCTCGTTTCGGGCTGCGCGTGCTTGGGGGCTCGAACGGTTCCGGCTCCCAGCGCAGCGCTCTAATGCAGGGCAGGAGGCGCGTTGGGGAGCCGGCGATGAGTCTCGGAACGCACTTAGTTCGATGTCGACGACAGGTTTCGAGTCAGCGAGGGCGCCGTGCGTGGTCAAAGGCAGGCGCCAAGCGCCGGCAGCTGCAGCTTCTGCGCGTTAGAGGGCTTGCCGCGAGTTTTGGAAGGCAGGGTCGCAGCGGCGAAAGCTCAAGCAGTGGTGCTGGGCGGAATGGCGTTCCTCCCGGCCCATCTCTTCGACGACGTCAGCTTTGCAGGGTTTAGCGTTTCCCTGCTTCAAGGCTTGGGCAGGTTCCTGTTTGGTTTGCGCGCGCCGCGGGTGCTGAGGCGAGATGGGGCGTTCCAGCGGAGGGCGTCGGCGCGGCCAGTTGGGCCGCCGCGCTGGGGGGCGCCGTCGCGCACGCGGGCGGCCCCGCGTGCGATCCACCCGAGGGCAGGCCAGGGAGCTGACTTCGTCGTTTCGCAGGGTTTCGGCTCATTGGTTAAACGGTCATCTTGCTCGGTGCGGCGCACGAGCCCCGTGCCCGCGCGGAGGATGCGGCTGCGGGGGCATCGCGCAACCTCGCGGTGCAAGCGCGGGAGCGGGAGATGTGGCGGCCGTTCCCGTCAGCGGCCGTCAGCGCGTGCCGTTGGTTGCCTGCCCGGGCCAGGTGGGCGCCGGTGGAGCTGGCCCGAGGGTCGCGTGCCTCGATGCCTTGGGCTCGTTGATGGAAGGCGGGGTTAGCTTGGCATTCCTGGCGCGAAGCGCAGTGCCATC